CCTCAGGGCATGGGAAGAAATCCCCGCTCCCTCCCCTGCGAGGGGACGCGGCGCTGGGCCCCTCCCCCCCCGAGAGTGGCGCCCAGCAAGGGGCCGAGCAGACGCGGGGGAGGCGGCCTCCCGGTCATCCTCTCCCACGGAGCAGCATCATTTCCTCCCCCGGCACCTCTCTGGGTGAATCACCCGGGCCATGACAAATCCCCCGGCAGCAGCAGGTGGGTCCCGGACTGGCTTGTCCCTACTCCCTCCAGAGCAGACCTGGCAGTGCAGGGAGTGACTTCCAAGTCGCTTCGCCGCCAGATCGTTTTCTTTTTTTTTTTCTTTTCTTTTTTTCAGAAACGACCTGGAAACCTGGATTTCAACTTAAAATCAATCATTAAAAAAAAAAAGGAGGTTCGTGCTTAGCTGCAGGGAGTTGGAGTAGATGAGGACCCTTCCAGCCCCACCTTGGTCCGAGACTCCTGTTAGGGCTGGAAGGAGACCATCCAGTCCAAGCCCTGCTCGGAGCAGGACTTCTCTATGACTTCTCTCCCAAGACAGCTTGCAGCAGAGCACCCGTTTTCTTCGGGGGGGGGGGGGAGTTTTTGGGGGGGGTTTTTAATAAACAACATGGAAAGCTGGATTTCAACTTAAAATCAATCATTAAAAATAAAAGAAACTCCTGCTTAGCTGCAGGGGATTGCAGCAAGATGACCTGTGGAGGTCCCTTCCAGCCCCACTTTTGTCCTAGAATCCTATTAGGGTTGGAAGGGACCTCAGGAGACCATCGAGTCCAAGCCCCTGCTCAAAGCAGAATGTCTCTGTGACTTTCCCAAAACAGCTTGCAGCAGAGCAGCCAGCAGTGTATAGGAGTGGAGCAGAAACCAGTCCCAAGTCCCTCCCAGTGAGAAGAACCAGAGTAGACATCAGCCAAGCATTGGCATTCCCAAGTGCCTGCTGCCTGGGGAGCTGACCAACCTCCTAGGCTAAAGAGTCTCCAGCATCAGATACTGCTGGGCAGGTAGGCACAAATGCCCCGCCAGGCTCTCCAGCCCATGGAAGAAGATATTGCACACAGGCATGGGAAGCTGCAAGCCTCTCTCCCAACTACTGATAAAGGCATGGAGCTGCATCCTAGCAGACCTGAGACAGCATTACTTACGTCATTCATTCACTCGCTTCTTAAGACTTCTCTCCTCTGGTCTAAAGTTGACACTAGTTACTAGTTGACTAAGGCTTTGCTCTGCCTGCGAGCTCTCATGTGCCTGATCTCTTGACAATTAACCCTTCGCCTCCTCCAGCAACTAGATTTCCCCTTCCTCCCTCCCTCCCCTCTCCTGAAAGACTCAAGCCACAGCCCCTTTACACCTCTTTTTACGCCCATACATACGTTCTGCCACGGGCAGCGCTTCAGATTCCTTGCGGAAACCTGTGCTCTGACCACCTCTCAGCTGATAAGAAAAGTACACTCTCTTAAATACACTTTCTGTGAAGAAGGTGGGGAAAGCATGTACACAAAGTAGTTGAGACTCCACAGGGCATTTCTGGTTGGATTTGGTGCTGGGTCCAATTTTCCTCCTTGAGAGCCTGCAAGCAAAGTTCCTATGGCAGCATCCACTTACCAGGTAACCAGGTTTTCCACAACAAAGCCCAAGGTGCATGATCCTTCTCCAAGCAGATCCTGCCTCTCCTTAAGCAAGACTGGCAGCAACTACTGGCAGAGAAGAGAGCTGAAGAAAGAAGGGCAACTTTGGTTCCCAGCCCTTCAAACCCACTGGAGAGAGGCTATCCCTTTGAACATGAAGCATCTCCATCAGAGCTTGGGGTCACACAGATCAGCACAGAGCAGTTCGGAGGGCTGGTCTCTTTTCTTAAAGAAAAAAAAACAACCCAAAAAGCAGATTGTCACAACTTGAAGTGTCCCCTTTCAGAGCCAGGTCCTGCAATGAGTGTCCACTGGTTAGGGTGAAGAAGTTAGTTGAGAGGCTGACCTTGTTAATTGACTGCTGTCATTCTGGCTGGGTGATGGGAGAGGTGCTGGCTGTCCAAGCTGGCTGGGGCCAGGGGCCTCTGGGCTGCTGCTGCCTGCAGGCACTAGGAATTGGGCTGCCCTGCTTTCCGCTGGTTGGATCAGTGCTGTATGGCCAGGGGGACTGCAGTACAGAGAAGGAGGCAGGGAAGGGAGGGGGGAGAGTGCGTAAGGGCCGCCAGCCAGCAGCCTCCCGAGTGCCAGAGCCTGGGAGGGGAGGGAGGGAGGGGACGGGGGAGGGTAACTCCTGGTCAGCCGGTTGGCTAATTCAAAGGCAGTGTGTGTGTCTCCCCTTCAGCACTCACTGACTCACTCACACGGAGAGGGAGACTAGGAAAAAGAAACTAGAGGATTGACAGGCTGGTGACATTTCCCTCCCTCCCTGGGCATGCTTGATGGCTTTACTTTATTTGGTGTGAATAAGGGGAGACCATCCTCCATGTAAGCCCTCTCCCTGCATTGCTTCCCAGTGCTGCAAACAGTGCAGGCAGCATCAAAAAGCACAGTGAGCTCAGAGAAAGGATCAAACGCAAACACTCAGCCTGGAGTTCTGACCAGCCCCCTTCCCCACCCCTTCCTCCTTCTCCTCCTCCTCAGAAGAGTTCAGGAGCGTTTGGTTCCAAGGTGACGGTTCAGCCCATTATAGTAACAGATCCAGCTGTGAAATGTGCTCCCTGGGCATCCAGGGGATCCAGGGCACTGGAGGAGAAGCCCTCTTGGCTCTAAAGGAAAGAATATTGCTTAGGCAGGGAGCAGCGGGTCAGGCTTTGAAAAAGTTTAAAAGACTGAAATATTACTCTTGTTTCTCTCTGCTGTTTTACCAAGGGCAGGAGTGAGCTGTCAGTGCCAGCATGAAGGGGAGCAGAGCACATGCTGGGCTGGAATGAACTGTGTCTAACATCCCAGCTCTTTGAGTGCTGCAGTTCCAACTCAACTTCAGTTTTCACTTAAAACCTGTGAGTTTCTTGCTGTTTCAAAAAAAGCTTGAAAACATGGAGTGAGTGTAAGTAACTGATGCTGTGATGTCTGCTTGAGACACTGGAAGATCCTGTACTAGTAGTACAGGGAAGAGTGAACTGACCTGTTATCTCCTTGGGGGTTAACATCCAAATCCACTGACCTATGGGCTCTACCAAAAACCCCCAAGCAGAGGACAGAAGAGTGTAATGGGCTCATGCCACTCACCCAGACAGATACACCCCAGTTACTAGGTAAGTACTAAGATTCTCACCAGCTGTTGAGCCTGTTTCTGTAGCTGGCAAAAGGTGAATACTGTTGCTGTGCTTCCTGCTGTTAGAAGGAAGGTTTTTCTGCCCTGGCTTTTCTATGAAGGAGATGAACCTACCCCCATGGGAACAAGGGGCTCAGTGCCCATCTTATATGTCTAAGGCACTACCTTGCCTTCATGCAGCCCAGAGCCCATAGACCATGTTAGCTACTCAGAAATAAAGCCTTTCTGACAGTAAGCTGGACTCAGTTTCTTTGATTCTTAAATATTAATTTCTTGTAGCCATGACATTTACAAGAGGAGCAGATAATTTTTCAAATGTCCTGTAAGTGCCATGGGAGGTCCATGGGAACTTACGGTTGCATCAAGTTCTCATAAAATTACATTGTTATCTGGTCTACTTATTACAATGCATGTGGATAGTCTAGCAGTGAATGTATCAGATCTACAGAAAAACTATATAGGAAATGTGTGGGTTTATGCAGAAAGTATTTGTAAGCTATGCTTCACTTTAAAACCAACCTTTTAAGAAAGAGCTTTCATTGCTTAATACCTTATGCACTAGAATGTATTTGTAGACCCAGTAAAACACAGTATCTACTTTACTGCTTATATCTTTATAGGCACCATATGCCAGAATTTTCCATATGGTTATTTTTCAATTAGATCTCATCACTAAGAATGAAGATTATCCCTGAACTCATACTAGAGCCAATATCATGACATTGGTAGACTTGTACTGAAAATTAGTTTAATTTAGATTTCTGCAAGAAAGCTAACTGGTAATAAAGGAAATCAGCAAAATACATCAGTCATAATGTTTGTCCTTCAATTCTACAAAAAGCAATGGAGCACACACTTACATTAAAAGGATACCATAATGTGAAACTCCAGTAATAGAGTGTCACCTTAGAGGGCCACTGACAAGGGCCACTCTCAAGTGATTTTCTGTTTTAAAATGCTCCAATATAAGAAAAAAAGGTCTTCCCTTCCAATGACAAACTCAGGGAAGTCTGATTTTCAGAGATGAGACATAAATGCATTAACCCAGTGCTGAATGCAGTTTCAGGTGTTATTATTATTTGTGCTTCAGTAGCACCCAAAGGACTGATCAGCACTGAGGTCTCACTGTGATAGACGCTGTATAAAAACACAGGAAGAGATAGCTTTTGTTCCAAAGAGATTACAATCTCATTTGAAACACAGTGGAATGTGTGTAGAACAAAAGGGAGAGAGGAAGACAATGATAAAGATGGTCATACATTTACATAGATTAGCTACAATTCCTCCAAAGACTGGCCTGAATTTTCAGTGTATTTTTCGAGAAACTAAAGTCTGTTCAAAACTGATCAAATTAGGTAGGTAAACACATATAGAGACCTTTTCAGCCAGCCAGACACCTAGTTAGAAAGATCCATTTTATAATCAATTTTCACAATGTGTCATTATTGTAAGTGGACACATGTGAGAAGCTGAATGCCTGTGACTTGATCCATTTTACACATAATATACCCCAACTGGGAAATAAAATAATTTAATATAGATCTTTAGAAAACTAGCCTCTTTCCTATCATACTGAGTACAGTTGCTCCATAGTAGAATATTTTCCCTTTATTGAAACACTGTACATAATTAGCATGGGGTTCCAAAGAGACTGCTGTAATAGAGGTCAAAGTAAAACCCATGTCAACTCATTGAGTTGCCCCAGTAAGATATGGAACCATGGCTTGCAGATGTTAAAACTAAATTTTGGCACTTTGAAGGCAAAACATGCCCCTGAGTTTAGTTTTGGATCTGGGAAAATCTTTTTACATTCCTTACTGAGACTGGGTAGCTGAAGATTGGCCAGGTACTGTTAGTCAGGATGCTTTTATCATTTATTTCTTGTCATTTATAACCAGCCACCAGGAGATCTGAATCTTGGCTGGGTTTTGATGTCTATGGGTTCATACTGAATAATAAAGCATTTCTTTCCAGGTGTTTTTATATAATAAATAACTCCCACTAAGAAACTGATTCAAAGTCTAATTTTTTAATTTTATCTTATGTCTTACAATCCATTTCAAAGATATGTAGTGTGTAACTGATGATAATGTATAAACTGGCTAAGGTGAAAACTATTGAAGTGCTCTTACATTAAAATAAGGGATCACATGTGCCCAGGGAAATGATAAATCCATTCCAAAATCCTGGAATTGGATTTTCCTATTTAAATTGTGAAGCAGGTCTTGTATCTCACCATAGCTTGTTTACATTGAAACCCTAGTGAAAAGGATGGCTGCCTGTTGCTTTTTTTCCTTGTTGTTTACAGTTCCTTCAGCTCTCATCTGGAAATGTCTTACTGTTCCTGGAACTTAGCTGTTTCACATCTATGTTGGGCAAGACTAGAGGGATGTGATATGTGCATTCAAATGGAATGTGGTCAGTTGCCAGCCAATTCTAGGCCTGTAAGTAGGGTAAATTCTTGGATAAAGGTCTTATTCCCATAGCTTTTCCTTCCATTACAATACATGCTCTAATCAGAGTAAGATTTCTGTAGCCCCTATCACCACAGTGGAAAACACAACAAAGCCAGCTCTTCCCCCTTGCCACTACAGACAAGGCCGTCCTCAGAAATCACCCAAACACAAAGTTGGAGTGAAGCAGGTAAAGCACCTAAATTTACATTTAAAAAATGAGTTAGAACCCAGCAGAAGAGAAAGTAAAGTTTGAAACAAATTAAATATTAAATGACATTTCTATAACACACATATCCTGAAGGACACAGAGTACTACTTGACAAATTATGAGCCTGGCTCTCTAGTACTCTTATTCAGACAAAACTGCTGTTTACACATAGAAATTATATCATCAGGATTCAGCCCTACTATTTATTATATAAACACAAACACTGCATTGATTTAATGAAATGCAGCCACTTCTAGGGAGAAACACAGCAGCTGTTTAACAGCAGACAGTGATACTATACAACCTTAAGGGTACGTAATTAGAAGTAGAGTAACTGTATGAAATTGCTAGGAAGTTACAGATTCAGAGATGATAGTTAAATTGAATTTGAGATGGGACAGAGTGAATAGTTCATCTTCAAAAGGAGTTGAACTATCACATCTTTAAATTATCACAGTTATTAACGATTTTAATTATACATCTCATATGAAGAAAAAGGAAGAATTTTGTAAACAGAATAAGTAGACAAGACAGCTTCTTGGAATAATTCTTGGGGGGGAAAAACCCTAAATTGTAATACACAAGTTCTCAGATCTCAAGGAATGAACATCAAATGCATTTTCAAATAGGTGAAAGAGGACAGGAGGATCAACATTTTGTTTAGATTCTTCATCTTTGTGATCTAAGTTGGCAGATATTATGGTAAAAATTATTTCCATGCAGAAAGTTTGTAAATGTGTAAGTCCTGATTTAAATATTAGGGGTTTATATGACACTTGCCCTATTGCTTAGTGTATATGCCCTGAGACTACTGAAAATAATACTGCATAGTACAGTGATTACAAAGTCTATTAAGAAGCAAGCTGAGTAATTTCCCACAGCCCACACAGAAATATTAGAAGAAAATGCTGAGATAACCACCATTTTGTTTGTCCTATACTAAGATCCTCCGATATTAATAACATTTCCTTGTGTAAGCCTCAGCAATTTGAGATTGAATATCTGATAAGTGCAATACTGAAACTCACTTTTCTTGTTTGTGGGTGCAAGCATTTTTCTAATCACTTCTGTGGCATGAAGTCAGTTTTCCCTTGTTACTGTGCCTCCTGACTTCACCATAATTTTTGGATTTAATTTTTTTTTCATGTTCTATTACAGATATATACACAGACAACTCCCATTCTTGGATTTTAATACAAGTTTTGG